TCTCCTCATCCAGTCGAAACATCACGGTCGAAGGACGGCCGTCGAGAGCAGAGAAGCAGAGAGGTATGCGAGACGAACCAAATGGTGAAGATCTGCGGCTTACAGCAAACAAGAAAACAATGATTATGTAATAACGAAGAAACAGCTGCTACGGCGCCTTCATTTCAGTTGGTCAGTAGGTGTTCGTACGAACATTCATCAGTCATCGCTCGGGCATCGGTGTACTGCGTTGACGAACGTCTGAAAAACACTGCCAACGAATATTACGTCATTAATGAGATGTGGAATATCGCCGTCTGAGCACGCAACGTGATGAATTGCTCCAAAGGCAGCTGCTACCGCAACTTCGCCGAAATGTTTTCGATGTTTCTCAGCAGTGTTTGGTTTGTGAAGTGGGCGAAGCAGTGCGGAGAGTGAACGCCTCGTGAAACTTACTGGATTTCTTATGGATCCGTTCATCGAACAACCGCCAAGCATCCTTAACAAGCCCGACGGATCAGTGCTTTTTGAGTGCATGGTGTCGGCAAACCCTGAACCGGAAGTGAAATGGTACTTCAAAGACAAGGAACTGACCACCGGCGACAAATACATCGTCAAAAAGAAGAAAATGGTCGGAAAATATGCGTGCACTCTCCAAGTGAAGGTTAGTTGGACCCTGTACCTGTTTCTGGTGAAGGCTAAACTTGCACCCTGAGTGAAACACTTTGAATAAATCAGTCAATCACTTTCGATAACCGCTTGTCCTTTTGGCTAAAGGTGGCAACAGGGTCATGCGACGTACCCGATGTTTTGTTGGTGCTGGTGTCTGAGCCTCGGCAGAAGATAGTCTCTGTCCAGACACTTATCTCAGGTCACTTTTGGCCGTCCCCGGGTCTTCGGCTCATTGGTTGAGCAAGATAAAATTGTTTCACTGACACTTTAAGTTTCTGAATGAATTTTAAATCATTGGTCGGTAAGTAGAAGGTTAAGTGCTGAGTTATTGAGTGAAAGCCTAGACTCCTTCATCTCTATCGGAAAGAGAGTTTCTCTCCACCATTTCGTCCCTGAGACAGTGAGTTACGTATATGATTTCACACATGATCTAATGGCCATGAAGAATGAATAGCAAAACTCGACATGCTGCGTCTCTTTTAAAGATCGATTTCTCGATGGCCCTTTTTCGTCGTGCTTGTTTTTGTTCTGGAAGGTATTTGCGCTGCAAATTTGATATCGTGCGCAATAGCAATAACACGGCTCTAAGCCAGCGATAGAAGCCATGCGTCATATAGGTGACGGTGTGATACAGGTCTTGTTTCAAGGGGACAAAAAGAGTTATGAAATCATATACACCTTCGAGATCGCTTAATATGTATCTGTGTTATCGTTCAGAGTGGTAATCCATCTATATCTATACTGATATGAAATGAAACTGGCTTATTGTTTACTCTAGACCTGGAATCTGCGGTTTTCACCGCACTGACGCGTAAGCTGCAGGATAAACATAAATCTGCAGGAAACAGTGCGTGATCCTAGATTAAAGGGAATGCGTGAGAGTCTGTGGTAAATCCGATAAATTGTCGATATGGAATGAATTGCTAATCAATTACCGTCTGTTACGGTAGGAACGGATTGCCTCTATGGATGATAACATGTTCACTGTAAATGCCTACACAAAATCAAAAGCGGGTGGAAGCAGTGACCTGTCTTCTCCTCCTTCTGACAGCCGTAAACTCAAATGCTCGGTGTCATAGCTGAGCATTCGTTTCAATCATGATATACGTTGCGGTGAGCGCTTACCACAATAGGTAATGTCAAATGGTCAGCATAAATCATGCCATGCCCATGTACAAGTATAAGTATTGTACAATTCGTTTACAAAGCACAATCAACAACGAGATTAAAGAACATTTTTAGGCCAAGTCATCTATTACACCCATTGCGATAAGACCTACTCTTTTCCCGCTTGTGTTTTAAACTAACACTGACGCAAATTATAATAATTTTTAAAATATGAGGTATGATGCATTTCGTCAAACCTAATTGCGTGGCATTTTGCACGCTGTGCCTCTAGATACCCATTGGTCCCAATTTTGCAGGATAAGCTTCGGTAATATTCTAATACGGTGGTATGTGATTATATGGTTCTGTGGAGTATGATCGTATGTGCATTTTGGCAAGAGCGGTACCTTTCTCATCACCAAAATTTTTGGGTGGGTTTGCTCATTAGGTGCAAAGTCAGATTCAAAACCAAGAAGTTCCGGGTTCGACCCCCCCCCGCCTTCAGTTCATTCACTTTTGTTCCTTCTGACGTTGATAAATGAGCACCATTCTGTGTGAAGGAACAGAAAACCACAAACTGTACGTGCCGCATAGCCTGTGTCGACTACGTCATCAAAATAAGCACTCCTAGCTAATATAATGTAAACGGAGATCTGCTTCCCACTATTAATTCCATGAAAAGGCATGCGTCAGATATTGCTCCATCATGAAAGTGTAAGGAAAACGACAATGCAACTGCTGCAAACGTTTTTTCCTTCCTTCAGGTCTTGTTTTCTTGAAAGTTCTTGTTTCCCTTTCATATATAGGGTCGGAAACGTAGATTCGTAGCTGTAAGCATTATAATAAGCACATCACTCCTCCATAATGAGTTTCACTGCCTTTTAACCTCGTCTCATGCTTCTTAGCTGTCTAGGAAATCTTTATGAAGTGACCTTGACTCCATTATATTTTAATATTTTTTATATTTGCAGTGCAGAGACGAAAGTTTATTGAGTACAGATAATATTAGGCTAATCCAGTGATACTAGGTTAGACTAGTACCTCTTCTTTACCAGTGATGATGATCATAAATAAAATATATCATCGTCCTTGCACAGAGTTAAGATCATGGACGTTCGAATTTGAGGAATGCCACAATTTTTAAGTCTTGAACATCCAAGTGGGGCAAAGAATCTTAGTTTTTACGTTTCTTTCGTTTCATTCTTCAGTGTCAGTTGTCTAATATCGTCTAATTCTTCTGTACCCCTTAGCTAAAACTTTTCATCCTCCACTTGGAGATAGATGGATCAACGACAGCTGTCGCCCGGGTGTTTTTAATAGCTAATATATAAGATAGTCCGCCCTCCTCTCTCACACTAATGGTATAACGTTGAGTCGAAGAAGCAACACGTTTATTAACTTTTAAAAAAGTTTAAAATTATAACAGTACG